CTTCGTAGCTGTCTTCGAAAAGTGCTAACGCCTGCCTGTCTATACGAGTAGCTAACGGCAGCAAAACTTCCGTAATGGGAATGTGTACCACCCGTATCGTTGACCGCTCAAAGTTAGTTTTGTTCACTTGTTCACTGTACTTGCACGCACGAGTTGATTCTAACAATGGATATTTCGATTGTTCATTCTGCGCTTATCGACTGCTCAACCGGTATTCTGAGGCTTGAGCTACCCCTGTCCTGTGCTGACGTCAGCGCAGATATCCAACCGCAACTTCGATCCACTGACTTTGTTCGGCTGCAACCTGACGCTGGGACTTCTGTGGCCATGTCACCGTGCCAATCGCATGATCACGGTAACTACGTCGTGTCTCCACTCTACGACGTCCTGCTATAGCCGCATCAATATATTTTCACAGATAATGTGGTAATGAAGAAGCCTTACCAAGCGACAAAGTGTATATTAGCTGAGTGCTAAAATGGCGACTTAGCACAATGGAGTTGGAGAACATGAACTACACGTGTCATTGATATCAAGTTATCAACTTCCGTGTAGCCAGAGAAGGGTGGGTTCTCCAGCCATCGATAACGCATTGGATGCAATGTTTTGACTTTTGTGGGGGTAGTTGTGGCGGGAACAATTGCTCCTCTTGAGCTCGCAGAGTAAACTGAATTGCCCGCACAAAGCTGAGGACCTGCATTGTTCTCATGCGGGAGTTATGGCGCGCTTCATTGCCAGGTATTATGACAATGGCAACACCATCATTTCACATCAATAAAGTTTGAGTTGACGTCCGGCGCTTGTCTGTTTCGTTGGGCTTGTAAGGTGCAAAACTTCACCAAATGCATAGCAAACTACATTCGGTAGGCATGCTTGTGCATGAGACATGACACATATATACGTAGACTCCGACCTTGTATCATATACTCGTATTATTTTACCGTAGCAAACCTCAAACAGCAGTTAATGTTCCTACTATCAACAAGTGCATACTTGAAGAATGATCAAATAAACTATTCACGGATACAATCTAATGAAAACTTCTTATCAAAATAATCGGTAGGCTTCTTCGGGAAGAATCGAGTCACTATTAGCTCAATGGGCTGAGGAACACTGCCGTTTCACTAAAATAAGCAATTTCGGTAAATTTTTTCAGAACGTACGAATGGTAACAGCAAATCATGGGGGCTCATATCCCACAATTTTCTAGATGCATGTGCGATGCATGTCATCTCTATGAATGATTGCTGGCTATCAGTGAAAATGAACATATTGCGATCGATAACTGATTGTATGTAGAATATTTGAAGTGTAGAAAGTTAGTGATGTGAGCTTTTGGCACAGTGCCGAAGCAAACTAAGCAGCTTTGTTCCACACACAAACAACATTACTGAGGATCACCTGTCCATTGCATGCACACAGCTATTTTGCTTCCTTCGCAAAAAACTTGAGAATCGGCGGAAACGAGTCCATCTGGTAGCTACATACAGGAGATGTGGCCGAGTTTTTTCGATCATATATAATGTGTGTTATGTGGTTTAAATCTTGTGCGCTCGCAATCAAGGTGGTGAAATTTTAGTACAGTTGATCAAGCGCATAAATTTATCTTTGGCTATTTAAATTTATCATTGAGCGCAAAAGCGCGCGAGTGGTTTCAGAGCCGCACAACACTGGTTCACTCAAGTGCTGTGACGTAATGCGCTGTTATTTGCAATGCGAACAATTTTGATCCATTCTCGAGTGCACATGCTTCCAGATTTCTTCAGCTTCGTATTTAAACCGAACAATTTGCAAGCGTCAAAGCTTCGATAAAAGACAAGGGCTACGCTTCTTGTAGCAAATGACGTCACAAAAGCAATGGCAAACTGCTGGTCGCTGGCGCTGAGTGGAGTTTGTGGGCTGCGACTTCCATGGCTTACTTTCGCTGGAATATTATTTTTCAGTTCATTTTTAGGGGGCGAAACTCTATGGGCGAGGCTCCTTCATCGTCTGTTGTCCGTTATCTGCCACAGCAGATGTAAGGTACCCAATATGTGCCCGCCGTACTTTCATAGAGTAGAGAAGCACGCACCGACTATGGCACTATGCGGTTAGTCATTCTGCTGATAAGTGAGGTACCTGCTACACGTCCGTGAGCCATTATGTGCACTTCGGGCTCTGGCTGATGTCGGGAAGCAGCGGCAAAGCTGCAACGCCGACAGCAAGCTGCTACTCCGGAAGCCAGAGTGCCGCATGCGGCGGCTCAACGTCTACGCGGACAGCAAACTACTCCGGAGACAATAGTTCAGGAAGCAGTGATTAATCGCTCTGCAGCTCCCATTCATGAGCAGTAGGTGTTTAACGCACGGCAGCAGGCAGTACAGAGTCAAAGGTATAGTCGTCAACGTCTTGATAGGCGTTCAGAAAACGATGCAATGCCTTCCCAGCAGTGTTGGTGGTAAAGAGTTACAAGTTATGTCTTTACCGGTAATGCGTTACTTTTTTCGGTAACTTGGTAACGCACTCGTTCAAATTTCCTAACAGTAACGGGTAACGTACTTACGTTACCAATTTTCAATAAAGTGTGGCGTCAGGTTATTCGTTACTTTTACATCTTATAGCTGCCATTTTCCTCGAGCGTGCCCAACGAATTCATTTGACGCAGCGTCGGAGGGCTGCTGGCTTGCCAAGCATTGGCGAAGAGTGCGCGGGGGGAAATGGTTATGTTTAAAGAAATCACGGGTAAACCCACTGACTCCCTATGCGGAAGGTTGCGCTATTATCACTCAAAACTTAAACAAAGCTGTAAAATCCGGTAAGAAAAACTGTATGGACGTGCTTTTCGTAGAAGTGGATTGCATCAGTTGGATTGCTGGCACCTGGCCTATCTGTGCCCAGAAGACAGGCTGTCCTAAGGGAAACCACATAGGCCGGTTTACTTCAACCACGTGTTTATTGTGACGCTTGATCCGGGGGGGGGGGGGCAGCAAAGAACTTTCTCACGATGTACGCAAATTCTAGTGAAAAAGGAGCACGCTTACTAAGCACAACGCTGTAAACACCCACCTCATTGAAACCGCCGAGTCCTGCATCGACTTTTTTTTTAATCGGTGTCTTGCTATACTTTTTTGACCAAGCCTCTAAGTCGACGGAGATCAATTGCAATAAGCGGCTGTTTGTGTAATCCTGGCTCATCCAGAGAACAGCTGCTAACTTCAACCATCTACAGGTGTACTGCTTATTGGGGGTCTGCTTCAGCGGATTTTTGTGCATGAGGGAGAAAACGCAGGAGGAAGGAAATCCGTACAAAAAAAAATAATGCGAGTGGGTCGCGAAACGTTCCATTTTTTTATTGCAGAGCTAAAAAAATATTCTATTTACACGCGACCTTAATTGGCGTCCCATTTTTTCAACTAAAGCCCATTGGTAGCACTGCCTCACGAATACTATGGCTAAGCACGGTTTTACAGATAGCTACATGGCATACATGACAGCAATATAGTCACCTAACCATGGTTATTGCAAGCGGTTGATTCTATGAGAGTTCCACGTGGATCCGAGAATGAGTACTTTAGATTTGACTTTGTATTTTATGTCTTACGTGCATACCCCCTAGTAGCCCTAAAGAGACATTGTTTTCTCAGTGCCAAATTTAGGCGGCAGAAAATATTGAACGCATTCCACACGGAGGGACGGCATTCAATGCCCGTTGCTCACGAACATTCACCACGATGGAACACATAGAATTACCATTACAATGAAGACATTTAATGTACGAAATGTTTCTGTAACAAAAAGTAAAGTGACATTACCTTAACCTTGTAGGGTGAAAAAAAGTGTTTTTTCAAAAATGTATAGGTAGGCGATATTTTATGACAATCGCTCCTCAACAGTTGCTACAAAGTTGATAAGCTGTGACTTCGTCTTGAAACAAATATTGCTTATTTCTTTCGCGAACGAGATTGTTCTTGAACATTCTGACAAAATTTTGCGGTAATTATGCAGGTTAAGGTAACAACAAATGTTTATGCTGAGATATTTTTCCGTGACTAGGCCGTTAAAGCACTTATATTTAGCCAACACAAGCTCTCCATCTAAATGTGTCTTTTTCGAGGAGTTATTCTGTGCTCGCGGATTAATATTCATGGACCAAACGCGACGACAGGTGTGGATTGAAGGACATCTGGAATCACAAACGTTCGAATGCCCCCCCCCCCCCCCCTCCCAGAAAAATAAACCGCTAATGCATGCCTCCGCAATTGCTCGCAGTCGCCCTAGCGGGCCATTGCGGAGGCCAAAGACCACCAGTTTTCATTATAACGATCTGCACTGAAGGTGGTGTTTAGACCCCAAACGCGTTTCTTTTTTGTTTTAGTAACTAGTAACGTGTTCAGCTATATTTTTTTTTTGGGGGGGGGGATGTGTAAAAAACCCTTTCCTAGAACAGTACCCTGACGACGATGTCATTTACGGGCACATAAAGTGAGAACTGATAAGCAAGCCGTCGTACAAGTCCAGCCTAGTCAAGAAACTAAACATTCACGCGTGGTTGAATGTACCCTAGGACGCACCCCTCTACAGACATCTGCATATAAAAAATACATCCATCGGCCACGCCTTTGCCAGCTTCAGGCTAGATCCCATCGAATAATCATTGCTTTTACGTTTAATGAACCACAAAGCAGTAATTATGAAGGCAAAACGAAATACAAAACTCAACACAACAGGCGAATCATGACCAATAAAACAGTGTATAAACTGCACACACGCATTGTCATTCATGTACTTGCACGAATGGTTGCGCGATTTAACTTCCCATTGCTTCGCCCAGTCGTCGGGATTCACTTCGATATGGAGACGCGTGGATATTTTGATAAATGTGTAAACGCAATGAGCCCCCCTACTTTTTCTCTGAAACTGCAAACGCTTCTGAGACCATTTAATGGCCCATAAAATGAAGTGCTGGCGTGTACGTCTGTACTGCACAACTGCAAAAGTTTCGATCAGATGAGATGTTATGTTTACACGTGCTTTTCAAGGGTGAAAAGCACGTCGGTGTAGCCCTGTGCAGCTGATGCAGACTTCACCACGGGAATGTCGGTGACGTTCAGCAAAGAAGTTGCTGTCATGAACTCCTTCTCCCTAGCCCAGTCGGGAAACGACTGCAGCCCGAAGACGTAGACACCGAGGGCGTGTATCATGGCTGTCTCGACGAGGGAGCACAGCATGTTCATCATGAGACCCGGCTTCGCCTGCAATCAGGTAGATGGACAGACACAACAATAAAAAAATAGTGAGACTCTTCAACGCGGAATGGTTTTTTGAAACCGGTATTTTCAAGTAGAAAAAAACGAACATTTTGGTGACCTTCCTATGACTACTCGTAAGTGGCAGGCACTACTTGAGCATTGTAAACGTGATTTCTTTTACCTTCTTCTTAATTCACCGTGCAGCCAACTGGTGGCGGCATCCTAGCACCCTTCTGCGAATACTACGCGATAAAACAAACACTTCCTCTCAATGATACCTCAGTCGCTTATAGCGCAAGCAACTTTTATTGCGATAGCAATTATATGAACACTCTCAGCTGCATGTCGCCACCGGATATATATATATATATATATATATATATATATATATATATATATATATATATATATATATATATATATATATATATATATATATATATATATGAAAATGCAAGAAATAAAAGAAAATTCCAGAAAAAAAGACTCCCGCGCGCGGAATCAAACATAGGACCTCCTCGCCATCAATGCGAAGCGTTCCACTGAGCCACCGAAAGGTATACCTCATTCAACACTTAAACGGCAAGCTACTCATATCCACCACTTACCGCTGTGGGCGGGCATCTGGGGGGGGGGGGGACTATCAAGTTTTCAGCATTATCAGCAAGATGTCACCGTGAGGGCGCGGCAGCTCTCATCTACCACGCGTACTTTGACCCGCGTAAAGAATAAGGGTGTACTCTCGATCGCACGCCCTTGTGGGAGAATCGTACGTCTTCGCTAGCCTTTGGGTTTCGTCGGAACGATTCTGTTGCAGTAACTGGGCGCACAAAGGTCACTGCAATCGTTACACAGCCTTCGTTTGCGAAAAGAGCACGCTTTACAGACACAGAAGAGTAACAACTGAGACGCTTATTCGCGTGAGTACAACAGAGACGCTTATTCCTGGGAGTACGTTTCGTGCGTTGTTTGTGCGTGAGAAACGCGGGGCATGTTTCTGCTTGCCATTCTGCGGGTGACCTTCCAATTTGTTGCTATCGTGTCCATTGCTTCGCCTTTGTGGCAAAGCTGTGACTTTTTTATTTAAAAAATCAAGTTCAACATGCAGCCAAATTCAGAGATAAATGAACAAGACGGCCTTAGCAGGTGACCCACAGCAATGCTGGAGTCAACTGTTGTTGCCCCCTGCGAAGAGCCATTTCTTTCGTTTCCAAGGCGTAAGTTGTATGTTCCATATTTAATTGTAAGTTGTATTCACTGTTCGGATCCTCCCCGTGGCAAGCTATATTTTCGTCCACTTTTTTTCTTTTTGCTTGCGATACAATCACTTTAATAACGTCCTCTATACTGTCCCGGGCATTAGTGTCTGCTACATCTCATTATTGTGTCTTTAACGAAGCAAGCGAGCCCTTGAACATACAGTTTCTTTCATTCATTGATAGCGGAGGTCTCGTTCTGGCAGACTTGGTGCATTGCGGTAGTATGCGAGAGATTATTGGTCAGGTGCCATCTCGGAATAAGATCACGTGCTACGTGATGCCAAAGAGCAAAAATAGCGTTTCACACTCGCTGTAATGGCAACTAGTGGCGGTGACTAATGCTCCCACGTTTAAATGCACATATATGCCATGTAAAGTGGACAAGAGGATGACCGCCACCTTAGCTCAGTGGTATCAGACACGTTATTCGAAGGTCACAGGTTCGGATCCTGCCGGTAACAAGTTATTTTTTTGTCTAGTTTTCTGTGTTCACACTTTAATAACAATTGTTTCTCATAACATTTTATATGCTCGCCCCGGCATAATTGTTTGTTGGTTCTCATTATTGTGTCTAACAACAAAAAGGAGCCGTTAAATTTACAATTTACTTAATTCACTGTTTAAGCATTTGTGATCGATGTCCGTCAATACATTTCCCGTGAATAACATTGCATCAAAAATAAATAAATTATACATTGTGTTCGTATTGGTGACGAAAAACGCTAACACCTACAGGAAACGAGGTCCGCTGGCTCAAACAAACATCGCCTCATTTAAATCTTCGTAACTGATACCAAGACATTTTTTTCGGTATTCTTGTTTCTATAAAACACGCACCAGGAGTACCCTTCGCAAAACACCATACGTGATCTATGTTCAGCTGCTCTCTTTGATAGGGATAGTGTTGATAAATCAATAGTCTTCAATGCGATTCAGTTGTTCCCTGCATTTTATGCACACATGTGATAAGTGACAGGATTACTTGAATTTTGTTGCACAGCCTATTACGAAAGAATCTTTTGAAATACAGAAATTCTTTCATGCATAGTTCTGGACATATTAGCGAATGCAACCGGCAAAGAAAAAAGTGCTTTCGTATAAATGACAACCTCAGACATAAAGTTAGCTGTCACAACTACATCACAATTGTAAAACAATCATTACTGGGTAAATATAGAACGGGTGGGAAATGCGCCATCTGATGAGAAATAGGTGAGCACAGAGTGCCACGGGCGCCAACGTCTCGGCAGCACGACTTGTCTGGCGAAGAAACCCCCGGTGAATTCTTAGCGCCACGTAGAATCCATATTCAGCCGCTTCTCGTTACTAAAAGCTACCAGCTTAACCCGAATACCTCCCGTGTATCATTTGCCGTTTGTGATAAACTCGCATAATTATCACAAATTCAATGTGTATGTGATAAATGAATATACCACACATGACTGTACTGTAATATTGTGATACCCTTCAAAAATGTAGAAAATAACAGATTTCGTAATAGTAATGAAAGCTAAAATGACCCAGTCATATTATTACTAATGCAGCCTCAGCAATCTTGAGACAGCTAGCTTACCATGTCGGGAATACGAAGATTGCCGAGGTCGTAAACAATGGCGTTAGGCGGAGTGGCCGCAGGCAGCATGAAGGAGAAAGAGCAGCCGATGGTCACCGGAATGGCGAAGTACAGCGGGTGCACGCCCCTCGCGATTGCCTGCATGACAGCGACAGCCGGTTGCGGAAGTGAAAACGTACTCACTGGTGGTGGCTATCCTTGCAAATGCGGCAAAGGTGATTGACGTGGTTACTTGGTTAGGTTCTGTTATATCCCGTCATTGATCGAAAAGAAATATTGAATGGACACACTTCTTTTTTCTTTTCTTTCTTTTGGGACTTCGCTCATCAAGCTTTTTTATGCTCGTGCCTCGTCGGGCGTTAGCGTGTACACTTCTCCGGTTATTTCAGAAATGGCCACTAGATGGTGCGCCTCTGGCCAAGGCATCGTCTTCGGTGATTCTCGTTAGGCACAACCACATTGAGCCAATAGAAAATAAAACCAAAGAAAGCATAGGGGGCGTAAAGAGCCCTAAATGTAATTCTTATGAGGTGATATAAAATGTCAAAGCTCAATGTTTACTTGCTGCTAGCTGCTTCTCCGTCCACTTTAACGCAGCTGAACGAGTCAGAGAACACGACCCCTGCTCGTGCTTCGCGCACTGTATTTCTGATATGCAGTGTAGTAGATACGCGTATGATACCCCAGCCCCTAACTCAACCATCCTGGAAAAGAAACCTGGCCGCCCAGAGTGCCCGTGAACGGGCCACCAAGCTCAGCTTGGCGGTTCCTACGCGGGATTAGCCGGGTGGCGCAATGCTTCTCCTGCATCTACTCTGGACCAAAATAAAGATTTATTTATCATCACCATCAACCATCCTCCCCTAAAAAAAATTCACACAACACATGCGCATCCGCACCTGCTTTTGAACTCGGCGCGAGAGCTAAGATAGTTGTGGCTCCCTCTCGTGCAGTTATCTCTGTAATTAGTAACTCATACGACAGTACTTACGACAATAGCGAGTGAAAAAAAAAGGCAACCGCTGTGCAATGTATACTATAGTACAGCTGCGGCGACGCAGCTCGCTGTGCTACTCACTATGTGACACAACATTTGTATCCAGTTACTGCCCAATTGCCAAAAGTTCCCTTCTGCTGATAAGCTGCACCTTACCGTTCTGCATACGACAGGGAGGAGGATAGAGCTGACGGCCGCGTTGCTCGTCACCTCCGTCAGCATGGAAGCCGCAAAGCAGAGCAAGAGTACAGTGAGCACTTCGGGAAGCACCTCGAGACCCTTGAGACGCTCGACGAGAAGAGACGAGAGGCCGGATTGCTGCGCCCGAAAAAATAGTGGAAATGCAGACGCATGTCACGTCGCAGTATACATGCAGCTTAAGCTCTATCTGTCTATAAACGACGCATATAAACCTGTAACCATAAAAATATATGCGTACGTGAACTGAAGCTGGCAAAATCTCCTGCCAAAAGATTTCAAACTTCAAATCGTATAAAAACGTGCGCTTGCGCATAGGTGTGGCAAGGCTTTTAAAAACTTTGAAAAACGCAAGCTCTGCGTATAGCAGAGAATGTCATTCATTGGCTTATTCTGAAAAATCAATTGTACAATCAAACACAATGCCATCTAGAGTGCCAAAGGACAATACGCACGTGCATTGTCTTATTTGAGAATTTCTTCCAAACCTGTGAATTGTGCACCTGCCATCTCACTCAGATTTCTCCACCTAATACAACTGCTGGATGCAGAAAGATGTATGTAGAAGATCCCCACATGAACAGAATCATATTCGTAATAATCGTAATAGCCTTCTGTGGTTTTGCTTGCCAAAACCTTGATAATTACTATGAGCGCGCCATGATGCGAAGTTCAGAAAGATTTAATCTCTTGGGGCTATATTCTCTAAGGTCTTCTCTAGGTCCAACTTTAGTTAGCCAAAGCCAAGCGTTAGTAGTGTAAAAGTGGGAAAAATTCAGCAATTTGCAAAAGAGAAAGCGAGGCATACGTTCAGTACACTGAACCGTATTATCCATATGCAGTTGTACACTGCATATGGATAATGCAGTGTACAACTGCATTATCCCAAAAGATACCAAAGACAGCAACAAGTTATCCCCGCAACTTGCTTCACATTGATACCTAACTCGAGCGCGGGAATACCCCACTTCATCTTCATCTCACGAGCAGTTTGGTACCCCACACACGTAAATAAATTTTGCGACAAGGAAGACATTGCATATCTGTAAGCCGGTGAACACAGAAAGTTCTCCTTCCCTTGCGAGGCGCGTGAGTGCTAACAATAAGTGCGGTTCAGTATTTCGTATTTGATGCAAAGGCACAAGGTGCCCGAGCGGTGGTGCACTGTTCGTACTAATACAATCAGATCAGGAGGGTTTCGTAGCCCATTAACAAAATGTTAGTAAATCTTAGTTTCTCGATATCCAAGACCGCTCCATGCGCGTGACGAAACAGCTTAGTCCTCTTGAACGTCACTTTTGTCAGCCTAAATATACGTTGTTCATTTTACCATTAGCACATTTAAGTTTAAACATTATTAAAACATCACGTTTGTTCAAGTATGCTCACCTTGCAAATGCTATATGCAGCGGGAGAACAACTCCTACGGGAATTAGTAGGGGGGGGGGGGGGGGGGGGGTTACTGCACGTAATATAACACCAAGCCACTATACCTCAGCCTTGGTAACGTGTCAAGCGTACCTTTGCTGTTCTTAATGCATCTCGGGGCGCCAGCTTTACTGGGGACGTTCATTATATCTCAAAAAGCTATCAGGATGGATTTCCTACATTGAGGAATTACAGAAATTGACCCGGAGTGGGAACTGGTTAAGTTTTTTTTTTCATTCCGAGGAATTAAAAGGAATAAAATGCAGGAAAGCCCTAATTCCTCGGAATAGAATGGGAATAAAACGGAAGTGCCCATTCCTCAACAATCAGGCCCAACTTAGTCGTTTGAGCTCCTTCCATTGAACGGCTCGTAGGAATTGTCTATGTGACACACAAGTGGTTGATCAGCTCCCCCTATATTTAATTGAAAAGGCTTCAATTTATTTAATTGAAAGGCTCCCCCTATATTTAATTGAAAAGGATTTGACACTAATCGAGGGCTGTTTCAGTCTTCTTATGACATTTGCTTGAAGCGCACTCTTTGCGCCCGACCACGTCCAGCGTCACACACTCGTGCTTATTGCTTGCGCTTGGTGTTGCCATATTCCCTGAAAGGTTGCTGTCAGGCGGTATCCGCAACGTGTCTTTCTCACCTGTAGCGTCTGTCAATGTGTGGAACAGCTTAACGTTAGAGGCATCGCGGCACTATAGCAAAGACTCAATGTGGCATTAGGGGCATTAAAGTTGGACAATGCCGGATTTATTGTGGTGTAAGTGATGCGCCGTGTCGGCTTACGTGTCGTTCAAGATTTTGCTTTAAATGCGAACTTCGGTGACGTTCAGCGTATCTATCTATCTATCTATCTATCTATCTATCTATCTATCTATCTATCTATCTATCTATCTATCTATCTATCTATCTATCTATCTATCTAGCCGCCTACGACATTTAGCTCTCCTTGCCATTTCGATAATGGTACCGATATCAAACTTGGTATCGCATAACAAGACTGTATGCAGAAAATATTTCACTAGTCATAACATAAAATCATCACATGGATGTCACGAATGTCATGATTTACAATTCATGGTCCTGCAGCTCTTGCGGTGGTTTCGTTCACATAGGCATGTTGCAAAACTGGTATGGTATGACATGATCGCATGGCGAACACAAGCGACAGACCCTAACAAGAAATCATGAGATGCGTGTCATGCAACAACATCACTACATGCCACGCTCATGATGCGCTGGCGGCCGTTTCGTTAGTTCCACAGTATACGAAATTTCATATTACGGTACGTGAATGAACGACACAGGTAAATGACACCTCCAAACATGATAATCACGACATGCGTGTCGTGTAACATAACTACATGCCACACTCGTGATGCGCTCGCGGCCGTTTCGCAGGCTTCACACATGCCAAATTTGGAATTACGCGACGTCAATGGATGACGAAGGTTTGTGACTGGTCCAAACATAATCATGAGATGTGTGTCATGTGAGAACATGACTATATGCCACAGTCAAGGAGCCAATACATTTCAACGTGACGCGGTTCGCGCGCTCGCCGGCGTTAATTTCGACGCGTCACGCCGGCGTTGCATCGCCAGGCGCCGGTCCTGCCGTATACACTCTCAGGCGCGCGCCGCGCTTCGTAGCTTTGACGCATGCGCGTTTCTGCGCGTCCGGCTGTCCCTCCGTCACGAACAGAGGGAGACGCAGTGTTGTCTGGGTAACGCATCAGGCGCGAAATGCAGCATGTCTCATTTCGTACCGGTTTCCGTCGGGCCATGCCAACGGACGCTGGTCGCGCCGGTCGCGCCTGGCGTCAGACTATAGAGTGCTCGCGTTTTGCTAACGTAGCGTCGCTGTGACCAGCGTGCGCGCGCGTCAACGCGACCTTGGAGTATATTGTGCCCTTCTTGATGCGCTCGCGGCCGTTTTGCTAGCTGCACATATACCAAATTTGTTGTTAGGTGACGTAAATGGATGACGAAGGTATATGACTGGTGCAAACAAGATAATCATGACGTGCGTGTCATGTAAGAACATGACAACATACTACGCTCATAGCAGGCTCGCGTTCGTTTCGCTAGCTCCACATATACTACATTTGGTAACATGTGACATGAATAGACGACGAAGGTAAAGGACACATTCACACATGATAATTATGATACGGAAGTCATGTACGACATCATTTACCTTCACCTCGTAACGTCGTCCTGATTTTAAAATGACATATCCGCCTTTGTCATTCGTGCTTCGCATATCATCGACTCCCACTGTACGCGCTGTCTGTAAATTTTCATTTTTTTTTCTCATCGCGAAGTTTTTCGGACAATGTCATCTCAGAAAGTGCTCGTTTTCGACATTTGTCGCGCGCCACTCGTATACAACACAATCGCAATATTTACATGTATTTACACCCTGCAAGCCTGCACCATCTACAAATGTTTAGCCGAGGTATGTATACATATTGTTTCTACTTGACTATACAATTGAAGTAAGAAAGGAGGGTATGCAACCCAGTGGGTAAAATACTCTACATCTAAGCGTAGAACCTTAGGTTCCAAATTCACAACTTCGGAAACATTAATTTTGTTTTTTTTTACAGTCAGTTTATTCGTAGCGATTCTTCTTACGCTACAAACGAACACACTTGCCTCACGGTAAATCTACATGTAAACAATTATGCACTTGAGATTCGAGAGTTCGAGGTCGCACTCGCGGAGCCCATGTAGAGAACGACATATACATTAGAATTCATGTGTGAATGTGTGTGTCGGGAATATGCGCACGCGGTGTCGCCCAGTGTTTGCTGGTAACATCTACCAGTACTGTTTAAAAAACCATCAGGAAACCTTTATGAGCAACGGGGACTACGGTGAATTAAACAACAACAACAGAAAGAAAAAAATTTTATGGGGGTAACTTTACATCGAGAAATCAATTTTAAGTGTGGTGGATTTTAAGAGGCCTGGGCTGTCGTTTGCTGTCGTTGCTTTGGGTAACGCAGGTGTAACGCACGTATAAAAATTGAAAAATAAGAAGTAACCAAGAAAAAGAAAGAAAAAGAAAAGAAAAAAATGAAAAAAAAATAAACAAGTAGAAATAAAGAACGAAAATGCTGAAAAAGAAAATGAGAAAGAAAGAGTGAAGGAGAGAGACGAAACATGAAGCTGAAGAGAATAAAAGAAGGCTTTTCAACTCCGCACTTTGTTCAGTCCTGGTACCACAAGTGCGAAGCAGCCTTAATAATATTTGCATGATACGAGAGCCCTGTTTGAAAGCCACTACACAACGCACTAAGGCAAACTCCGGTCGCCTTTCGCGTATATACGCACCATACAGGCTTCGCCAGCAGCCATGCCGCCGCCGATGAGGATCATGACACCCCACTGGGCCCGGTCACTGGCCTCGCGCCACGTTATGATGGGTCCAGCTCTTCCACGGGTGCCTCGGATTCCGTGGTATGCAGAACAGCAGTAGCGTGACCAGCATGGCAGGTGCGGAAGCCTTGATGGCACTACGTGTCGAAGATTCCATTCAATTTTCAGATTTGGGAAGGAGGAAGTGACAGTTCTGATCAAAGTGATGTTCTGAGTACTGGACGGTAAAGAGATTAATTTTCCCTATTTCGGCATACCCAGCTGCTCTGACTTGTCCCCCGTTAGCAATCATATTGCATTGCATTTCGTTGTTGTTGTTGTTGTTGTTGTTGTTGTTGTTGCTGTTGTTGTTGTTGTTGTTGTTGTTGTTGTTGTTGTTGTTGTTGTTGTTGTTGTTGTTGTTGTTGTTGTTGTTGTTGTTGTTGTTGTTGTTGTTGTTGTTGTTGTTGTTGTTGTTGTTGTTCTAGAACCTCGATGCACAGAATGCTGATCTGGGTCTTCTGATGTCGCCGCAAATAGATATTCTAGAGAATTATGTCTACCGGTAGCACTGTATCGCAAAGCCCATCTCGAGCGATACGTTCCTAATGCAACGTAGTATTAGTTAACGTGGTTGCTTGGGCGAGTTGGTACGACATGATTCACATAAAAAAACAGCGCCAATAACGAGAGACAAGAAAAAGAAGGAGACAGACAGCGGCACTGACAGTCAGTGCCGCTGTCTGTCTCCTTCTTTTTCTTGTCTCTCGTTATTGGCGCTGCTTTTTTATGTGAATCATGTAGTATTAGTGACATAGATAGTTCGATTCTGACGTTTCTGTACAACAAAAAATGTATACGGTTCATGTAGAACCTATTCAAGTAAGCAACGCGTGAGATCATCTTTTATTACGGCCCGTAAGCTTTCGTGCTAATGTTGCCGGGACAAACAGAATCTAATGCTGATTGGGTAGCTCATAAAGCCTTGCCCTGTTATCCACCTTCAAATTGTTGCAGCTACGACGTCAGAAAGAGAGATACAGAAAACAAGCTGTTTAATAAAAAAAAAAACCTGCGATGTTGACTTGACCTGGAAGAAAAAGATGAGAATACGGGAAGCACATCCGTGCTCTTCGAACTGATCCGAAGGAAGCTTCACAGTCTAGTTAGGAAAAGTATAGTAAAACCTGTTTGCAAGTAATAAACTTTCCAGTAATGCTATATGTTTCGTTCTCACACTTCATACATACCGCAGCTATGTGCATGATGACGCAGACTGCCAGTGCACGTACAATCTCACACATATAACCTACAAGACTAACAGGACATCCTTGACAATGATTGTGGTTTGGATACTAATTTTGCCCTATTGATATAGAAATATATCCTAAATTAAAACAAGAAAAAACACCTACAAAGACTGATTGCTATGTCGTAGTGATGGGACAAAAGAGTTGATTTACTTTCCAAACGGCAGAAGATCCACCCATCCAGGAAGAAGCAGTGGTTCCATGGTGACCCATAGCACGATCATCACGACCATCAGGAACATGACACACACCTCGGGAAAGCTAAAAACCACATGAGGCAATACTATAGATGAAATAACACGTTAACCTCTCCCCAGGACAATTGAATATCAAGGCAACAAGCTGGCATAACTTCTCTTATCAGTGGTTATTTCGGTGCTGAAACAACCTAGTTCAGCCCTTTTCTTAGGATAAAAGTAGTCAAAAAGGATGATGTACTTTTTAATGCTGGAAGCAATGTAGTCTTAACAGACGTAACACATGCGACTAGTCATGGATTAACATCACCCCGCTACAGTCGGAGAGAGAAGTGTAGAATATGATTTTGCGAACGTGCCTTGGGTTTCACTCATTCGTTCATTTATAGACTAGTTTCCCTTGCGAAACGAACGGTTAACTTACGTAACATCCGAGATGTACGCAAATCAAGTTGATTTCGATGCCGGCAAATTGTGTTTAACCATATTAAACACACAATACTTCAAGCTTTAATAGGTAAGTCAATAAATTTTTACAAGCATTTCCTCTACATTCTAGAAAATATAGGAGTGCCGCATTTTCGAGAAATATTTTTATAATAATACTGCATGTTAAGCCAAGTGCTCTACATAGATCTTAGGAAACGTTTTTGCCTGGATAAAGTGGATCAAACAGTCGATACTGTAAATCAACTGGTGGCTAATAAAAATTGCTGGCGTTCAAATAACCTCCCCAAATTAGCATATGACTATGAGCGACGCCGTAGTAGAGATCCCCGATAATTACGACCACTAAAAGTCTTCAACGTGCACCTGCACATATGTACACGGGTCCTATGAATTATTGCCTCAATCAAAAAGCAGCTGGGACACCTAATAATTTAAAGCAGTCAAGAACTTTATTAAAATGTCCTAAGAAGTGTTATTTAAAGGCACCACAGTTTTTTCGTGCGGTGTCATAAAAAACGACCAATATACTGGGCTCGTCAGCTGCAGCATGCTAATTTAGATAAGCAAAACTTGTTTTGGCATGGTTACAAAAACTTATAATCAATATCTGCAATGAACGCAGTTTTTAAAGGGGCCCTGCAAAACTTTTTTAGTATGGTCAGAAAACGCTGCCGATAAGTAGTACAGGCTCCCGACAACATGCAAGCCAAATATTATAGCGCAGCACGTGGCCTGGAATTCACAATAAATTGTCAAAGTCGGCTGAAAATTGCTTTCTTTTCTCTCGACAAGCTACGCAATATACCCAAAAACTACACGTAGCAAGCCCATCTATCAGCCATTGACTGATTTGAACATGGCGCGCTCGCTCGTTATAGAGATCGCTGCGGGAGGCTGCTACTTGCGCACACGATCACATTGCAAAAGCCGTGCATTCGAAAAAAAAAAGAGTAGTGCTCATGGTCACGGGGCGCCTGTGACGTTTCTCTGTGGCCCTGCCACCCCCCCCCCCCCCTACTTAGCTTCCAGCGCTTTTATCGGGACGAGAGAAGAGAGAATTCGATTGCAGAGTGTGACAAATCTTTGTAACTCCGCTCGTATGGACTGATTCTTAAAATTTTCGCGGCGTTGAATTCGTGAGGCAGTAAGCTCTTACAGGGAATTAATTTCATGGTTACTTGAAAAAGTGTTTCAGGGCCCTTTAAAAAGCAGTTTATTGATCCACGTGTCGCCAATATGAATTCACTTTACTGAATTCCTAAATTGTGGAACGCTTACCTAAGCGGGCCAAGCTCACTGTATCGCCTGGCAATCTCTTCTCGTACTTTCTGCTGTGCTGTAGAACGGCTTGAGCTCCGCCTGAAGAAAAGGAAGACAATTACGTGCATAGTGATTAAAAAAAGAAAACGTGCATGTCCCGGACAACATGTACGTTAGTTTCTGTATCGCTGCGGTTAATCTTCATAGCACCTCATTTTATAATCTACAATTTCTAAGCTTTTATTATATCTTGGACAGGGCACTGATGACTAACCAGTGACTCCTAATGCATTCATTATAAATACACAGATAGTAATTATTGTAATGTTGTTATTCTGCGTACTCCCAGCAGACGAAAAACAGCTGGAAAGCAAAGACGACAAATATGGCAATATGAGCACCGGTACCTATAGTAAATAAGAACTCAGAAATATATTTCCTACATACTACACAAAATGCTGCTGATATATTATCTACATTCACTCTTCGCAGCAATGGTTGTGGTTGTCACGCTGCGGATTACACCAAGCTGGGACAATACTTCGCTCTAATGAAATAACTGTTTGCAAGAGTATCTGCAGCGACTAGCTTCGAATATGCGGTTAAACTATCTATGTAATGGCATTGTATTCAAGCTGATGTGGCTCCGTCCCAGTTTTATCTTACATTGTTCTCATCGAAGTAAGCAGGAGGTAAGCCCAGGCGACCAGAACGCACAGAATCATCGTTGGTATGTTGTACAGCATCCAGGACGCAAAAGAGACCTCCGTCGAACTCGGGAACATACTGCACAAAAAGGGTGACACTCAATTAACAACAGTTTCGCTAAAGCTCAATCCACTGCATAGGGAGTGACATTTCACCAATTGTGAATACTCTGTGTGCTATTTGGATAATAATTCTACATGAGTCTTCTTGAAACGTACATGTAATGTAAAAAACTTATTTGTAATCGAAATGTTACCGAAATCACTATGCGCAAAACACATCAAAGTGTTTTATGTCGCATGGAATGCTTCAGTAGGGAAAAACTCCCAGATAATATATGAAGGCCTCAATAGAAACGTCGACCAACTAATTGTGAATGCGCAAACAATACAGTAAAATCATTGCTCAGAAGTGAAATGATTACTGAAGATTAACACCAATTTGAGAACAGTCAGAAAACGTGATTGATGAGTATTTCATATAACACACATGATAAAGCCAATTACCTTTACCAAGTCCCTAACTGCTGTTCTCTGCACCAAGTGTGCAATTCACATATACGAGAATTCTCATAATCTGACACTTACAGGAATACTCTGTATTGCGCAATAAGATCGCTTTCTGATTTATCACATATTGCGCGCACAACTCACAACGATAAACATTTTGGTCAGCTATAAAACATTACCTTCCATTAAACCATCTCTTGAAAGTAAGAGTCAAACAGGTGAAGGATTCAAACAGAAACAAGCACTCTAAAAATACCTTGTAAATATATCTAAAGGCCCACAAGAGACAGAAACGCTTCAGTAACATGTTTTCATCTCACGTTATAACAGTCTTTGGGCGTACTTACTCGTCGATAAGGTCCTTTAGGACTAAGTTGGGACCAGTGCCGATTGGCGACCCCGTGCTTCCGATGTTAGCAGCGTATGCCACTGACAGCAGCATTGTTGTCAGCAATGTCTTCTGTCGAGCCGCTTGTGCACTAGCGTGGAAAATAGATAAATGTACACAGAAAAACTGAAGTTAAAATTGGTTACTTCCCATGTTGCGCCCCGTTTAATTTAGAAAGCTTTTTCGCGATATACATAGATCATCGATTTATAGCGATCCAAAATGCGTGAGCCTAAAGAAACCCACGAAGAAACAATGATAACAATATAAGTTTATTGGTTTTGCTACGAATTACACTTATCTAGACAGAAGAACTGCGCAAGTGAAAGATGCAATGTCAGTGTTATCGCGAAAATCAGGATACCTAAGGTAAGTATACGCAATATCTCATATATAGTTCCTAAACTGCGTGATTTTGCCAATTATGTCTTTTCCAAAGTAAGAATAAAGGAGCAATCACAACAGCGAAATATTGATTGATATGTGGACCGAAATCACTATGCGCAAAACACATCGAAACGTTGTCTGTCGTATGGAATCTTTCAGTAGGGAAAAACTCCCAAATAATATATGAAGGTCTCCATAGAAACGTCGGCCAACTGATTGTGAATGCAGCAAACAATATAGTAAAGGTATTGCTCAGAAGTGAAATGATTACTGAAGATTAAGCCAGCCAAGAGGCTCCGGAACGCGCAGGAAAAGCTCGCGCATCTTTCGTACGCCTCACCAACTTTCTTTTTAACGCAGTGAAGTCAACTCGGCGATCGGCGATGTTGACTAAATTAGTCTTTATTATTACCTGGTTTAAACCGATCGACAAGCTGCGTGCTACGTCACGTCACTGATCGCCGAGTTGACGTCACTGTGTGCTGAAGGAGGTTGGTCACGCTCAGGAGAAATGCGCGAGCTTATCCTGCGCGTTTCGGAGCCTGTTGACTGGCGCTTTCAGAACATTCAGAAAATGTGATTGATAAGTATTTCACATAACACATAATATAAAGCCATTGGTCTTTACCAAGTCCCTAACTGCTGTTCTATACACCAATTGTGCAATTCACATATATGAGAATTTTCATATTCTGGCTCTTATATTGCGCAGGAACAACTTTACTTTATGGTTTCTCACATATTGCGCACACAATTCACATCGCTAAACATTTTAGTGAGCTATAAAACATAACCTTCTATTAAACCATCTCTTAAAAGTAAGACTCAAACAGGTGAGGGATGGAAACTGAAGTGAGCACTCTAAATATACCTCGTAAAACATACATAAAGGCTCACAAGAGACAGAAACTCTGCTGTAACATGTTTTTATTTCACGTCATAACTGCCTTTGTGCATACTTACTCGTCGATAAGATCCTTTAGGACTAAGTTGGGACCAGTGCCGATTGGTGATCCCGTGCTTCCGATGTTAGCAGCGTATGCCACTGACAGCAGCATTGTTGTCAGCAATGTCTTCTGCCGAGCCGCTTGTGCACTAGCGTGGAATATACAATAAATGTACAAAAAAAACTGAAGTTTAAATTTGTTACTTCCCATGTTGTGCCCCATGTATATTAGAAAGCTTTTCCACAATATAAATGGCTCACCATTATTGATTTATAGCAATCCAAAACGCATGAGCCCAAAGAAACCCACGAAGAAACAATGATAAAAATAGAAGTTTAATGGTTTATTACAAATTACACTTATCTAGGAGAGCTGCGCAAGTAAAAGAAGCAATATCAGTGTTATTGCTAAAATCTTGATATCTAAGGTGAGTATACGCAACAGCTCATATATAGTTCGTAAGCTGCGTCATTTCGCTGGTTATGTCTTTGCCAACGTACGAATAAAGGAGGAATCAAAACAGCGAGATAATGCTGCATAGAGCAAGTTTGCAAGGCTAGACTTCAATATTATTTTGTTGCAGTCTTTGTGGGCATAATAATTCCGTTTTTTACTTACACTACCTCGTAGGCTTACTTGCTGGCATCGTTTATTAATGATACAACAACTGTTCCTGCGCATGAGTCGGTTGAACCAAAGTCGCGAGTGTATTGTGGCACGCTAATTTTTTTCTTCTTCCTAGTAGTATACCATCGTTCCGATATGAAGCATGCCATATTATGTTTGTCGGCAAAAGTTTCTCTTTGGAGGTGAAAACCAAAGTTTCTTCGTGTGTGAGGGAGGGGGGAGCAATGCTGTAGCTTGGGTGAGGGCATATGTTGGTGTGGCTTGACGCTGATGTGTCATAGAAAGCTGACCTCCGATGAAACTTGGACCACGTGAGCTTCTTTGCCATGTGCCCAGCACATCGTAGAAGAATACGTTTAGATTCCAAATCAACCGAAAGCGTATCGTACCTGCGGCCTCGTTTTATACAGCGAACCACTATAGACACTGCCCTGCGTGAATGAATAAAACATTTATGTGTGTTAGTATCCGTACTATCGACTTGCTTAATTCCGAGAGAAGAAGTCGATTCTCACTCAGTGTTCGCTCCACAATCTCTCATATGGCCAGAATATGCATGGCCAACTGTATTAAAATTCTCAGCGGCCTTTCCTAATGGTGAAAGGATTTGGAACCTTCCGAGGCTTCGTAATGTAATTACTAATTAGCTGCTCATTTTGACACTAATAAATATGAACTACTGACAGCACGCGAAACAGTTTGCGATGGTCGTATGTCCAGCCTGCTGCACCATGAAGTAAAAATGTACTAACCTTGAAAGCTTGTGGTTAGGCACCGGAACGCTGTCCTCCGTCTTGTTTAGGCATTCGGACGCATGGCCTAGAGCAGACAAAGACTCAATATTAAGGGCTTCAGCAATTAACTTCTGATCTGATCTAAGGTAAATACTACTATGTCTTCTCAAAAATTTATAACTGTTTTAAAACACCGTTTAAAACATTTGAGCAAAAGCGAATCGATTGTGTGAGGCTGATATTTGTAAGATGCTTGTAAGGCTGCAAAATCATGGGCGTGCTAGCAATATTTCTAAGGCCTCAGATGTGTTTATGATCATTGGCCATATACTATCCACCCAGTAGCAATGCAGTATCATTTACTGACAAACCTACAATCTAATAGTAGGTGACCTTCGTAGAATTTTACCATGCACTTGTATTCTCATAAATGTAAAGTAAGAAGAGGAGGTCACCTTTCGGCCACCATTGATTCAATGATATCTCTTAAATACAGCGACCCATCGTAGAAGCGACCGCAGCTGAAAGGGACCTCATAAACCACACTTGTACAATAAACAGTGGATTCGTGGGTGTGTTTTATGAAAGAAATATCGGACCCCTTCCTGCTTTTCTCGCTCACTCTTTCCCTCCACAGCGGCACAGATCTTACCCAGCTTATCGACAGCCGTAAGAAGAACACTAACGCCTTACATTCTTCCTACTTTCTTTAGCCTGTGAAATACACAGCATTTGGCATACCTTAAACACGCTTCTTCTTGTCGCTTTCTGCAACAATGCTTGGACTTAACATGATGAA